TGGGCCGACTTTGGTGCCTTAGACCCACTTCTACTGGAAGGTAACTCACCTCGAATGCAGAAGCTTCCCGAAGAAATCCTTGTTGCTGCCCTGTCCACTTCCCGAGCTATCAATACTAATCAATATACTCAATTAGCAATTGGTTCCCATACCAAAATCCTAATCCATGCATGGGGTAAAATGACCATTCTACCCATGGCCCATTATGATCCGGAACTAAGGTCATAACCCAAACAAATTCCCAACACTATAATGCCCATAATCCAGTCAATGGCCTAATATTCTAAATTGGGCCCAAACCTCTACGTGAGTGTTACCATGAGGCTCAATCCTTCTTCACAGTCCAATACACTTCATATTCTGATGGCCCAATAATAATCCAAACACTTAAACATAAAATGCTAAAAAAAAATCACTTGTTGCCCGGTCCATGGCCTAATTTTCCAAATTAGGCCCAAGACCATAGTGGGCCTCCACAAATAAAATATCAACCCAAAACCTGATAGCCCACCAGTGCCTAAAACAACAAGCCCAGAAGATGGCCCAAACCGAAGCCCAAAAACCAAAATCCCATTTTGCTGAGTGTGCGGGGCGTACTCAACTTGTAAGCTAAGCGTACTGGCTTAAGGGCTTGTACGCTGTGCGTACTGGCTTGTACGCCCAACGTACTCCTCCTGATGACCCACTCTCAATCCTAGCACTTAATCCATTAAGCCAAGACGTCCAAAACCTCAAAATGGCTTAATATAAGTGACTTGACCCATAAAGTTGAATGCTTTAAGCCTTTGCATGGCTTAATGAATCCCAAACACCAATGATGAATTTCAAAAGGTCAAAATCACTCCCAAAATGTCTTAGAGCTTCTTAATACCTTAAGTCCTCAGTCCAAACTTCCAGATCTGATTTCAAGGGACTTATTAAGTTATAAAGTTTCCAACTTTATGACTTAGCATAACTCATTGGGGCCTAAATCTAAAACCTAAGTTCCAAACTTCATCAAATGACTACCAAATCATGCATGGAAGATTTATACCTCTTAAGATTTAAACTTTATGACTCCATAACCTCAGTAAGGACCAAATAAGAGGCTCAAAGGTTCTAGAGTAACTTCTACTCACAAGAACCACCTCAAAGGGACCAAAAACACTTAGCTAGATCCACATGAAAAAGTTGTCAAGGTTGAGACTTTATACCTCCAGAAGATAGATCTAGGTGCACATAGCTTGGATCCAAAAGCTCCAAGTCAAACAATGACTCTTCAAAAAGTTCCTTCTTCCTCTTCTAGCACCAAAACACACCAAAAATCACTTTGAAGCTCTACAATCACTCAAATGGGGGCTAAGGGGCGATTTCTAGGGTTTGGAAGGATGGAGGATGAAGGTATTAGGGTTAGGCTATGAGATAAGGAGCTTAAATAGGGTCCAAGACCCTAAAATAGTGTTCTGATCTGACTGGCGTACGCCCAACATAATTTTGGTACGCCTAGCGTACTCCATAGAACATTCGCGACCATCTTGGTCAGTATGCCCAGCGTACCGCCTTCTTCACTAGTATGCCCCACGTACTCTTTGTGTACGCCCCTGCGTACTCGGCTAAGCCTGAAAACCATGAAACTTTCGAAGGCCATAACTTCTTCGTTATATGCACAATTCTGACGATCCTTATATCCACGGAAAGGTAGCGAGAAGCTCTACGCATCCATCAACTTATCCTCACCTCAAAACCTCCTGAGCAAAAATCTAAAATTCATAAAGAGCTTGAACTACCACTTTACCGATATATCCCTTTGCTCCAAAACACAAACCGAACACCCGAATGACTTATAAAACATCACCGACACCCAAATGGTCCTAGATCCTACCTTTTCAAAAGACCTAATCCTTATGAAGACCAATCTTCAGGCTACATCCTTAGACTACAAGTCAATTCAGAACAAGGCATTACAAATACCCCAAGCCCTCAACCATCGGGTTGGAATGCCAACATACTATGAGTACAATCATCCATCGGGATGGAATACCCCAGGCTTGTTGACTGACGCACGAAACAGTCTAGTCACACCGTATACAAAGACAAATATGTTGGGTCTAATCAACCATCAGATTGAAATACCCTAAATCCAATCAACTTCCGGGTCCAATCATCCATCTGGATGGAATACCCCATGTTGGAATGCCAATGTATATATAACAGGTCCAGTTATCCTCGGGATGGAATACCCTTGGCCCACAACCATCGGATTGGAATGCACACATACTATGAGTCCAATCATCCTCTGGATGGAATACTCACGGCCCATAACCATCGGGTTGGAATGCCCGAGTCTGTTGGCTCTCGCACAAAGCAGATAAGCTTCAACCACTAATCAAACATGTGCACATATATTAGATAATCACATAACAGTCTATAGAGAGAAAAACTGATATAATAGATAATAATAACATAGTAACATCCTACCTATCAGGATACTGATCTAACAGATCATAATCGCATAATAACATCCTATCTACCAGGATGTCGATCTAACAGCTCATACGATACTCGAGCATATACATATCAAGATAACAATCCAAAAGGGTTGGCCTTGGTGTCTTTGACCCTTGAGTATAGTAAGGAAGACTCACCACACACTACCAAAGTCCCGCAGGTAAAACCCTAGCTGCTGGATGACAGGTTCCCGAACTGTCAACATTAAACAACACCCAATTAATAATTTGGTTCCAAGCTCATGGTCCAACTCACACTCCAAATCCCCAATAGTCAACCAATAGACCAAAGCCCAACAATGGCCCATTTACTTGTTCTTGGATAGTCCATCAATAGCCTAATCAAAAAAGCCCAATAAAAAGGCTCAACTAATGGCCAATAAAAAAGCCCAACTTACTTAACCTACTAAGGACTGAATCCAGTAAGTCCATCACTCTACTAGATAAATCATATGGTGTGATCAGATGTAATTCATAATTCACTTCCAATGGCCCAAAATGCGGGTCCCGATAAGCCCAAACCAACAAATCCAAAATTAGGGTTTTCTAAACCCTAATTAGGGTTTCCAACCCAATCGCGTGCCCATTAGTCGAATGGTTAGGTTTTAGGTCAATTAGCGCTTCACTAGGTCAATTAGGGCTAAATAAGTCGAGCACCACCCACTACCACCTTGGGTAGTGATAGTCAACGACGGCTCATGGCAGCGGCCACTACCTCGTGGTGGTGGTTATAAATTTTAAACTAAATATATCCAAGCATCTAAACTAACATTCCAATCAAAAAATGCACACCGCCACCTGACATGGTGGTTGGTGGCGGTAGAAGGTGACAGCCACCACCTCACGGTGGCGGTTATGGGTTTTTCTTTGATTATTCTGACCATACAATGATACAACATCAATACAACAAATATCCAAAATAAATACTCAAAATAAATTACACACACACAACTACCCTGCGGCAACATGCGGTGGTTGGAGGTGCTCGCCACCACCTTACGGTGGTGGTGGCTCTCTTGCGATTTCTGGCCAAGTAACCACACCCACACACGTTGTTCTGTTCGTAAATGAGTCCAGCCACCCACCTAGTGGCATATGGCATCGTTGATGGCACGAAATGGTAGCGACAAGCGCTGCTAATGGTGATAACATCAGCGTCTTCATAAATGGATGGCGGCATGGTAGTCGGTGACTATGTCTTCAACTATTTCGGGGTAACTGGGCAGCAATCACGGTGGTTCACGACCCACACCATCACTTCTTGTTCCGCCTCCGACCTTCGGTGGATCTCCCGACTATTTTCTACGTTCTCGACAGTGGTGGTGGCACTTCGATGGCGAAGTATCGGGTGACGGATGATGACTTCACATGGTAGCGTTTGGAGGTTCGTAAGGTGGCGGCTGAAGAGGGAGAAGGAGAAGAACAACGGATATCTAGTTGTCGTTGTCGTCATTTGCTGATCGGAAACGACATGGTGACAGCGCCGGTGGTGAAGGGAGGCATGAGGGTGGTGCGGCGCCGGAAGTTGAAGAAGGAGGGTCGCGGCTGAAACATGGCTAGGGTTAATGTTTGGACGGTGTGACGTTATATACCCTATCCATTCAAACTTTGGTCCATAATGACATTGTTAGTCCCTTCTTCTTTATTTTCTTTCAACGTAAATCCAAAAATTACCAAATGGCCCCTCCTCACAAAAACCTTCTCAATTTAGGTCTAGACTTTAGCTTTTAACCCCTGCCCCTAAGAGTCTATTCAATATATGTCTACATGATACCAAACACCCTCTGACTTCTGAAAATCTTTAAAAAAATAAGTCCCAAAATTATACACTAACCCTCTGAAGATTCGAATCTTTTCTTTGACTCCCCGAAACCAACACTCCGCTAATTATTATTTGATTTTTGGTTACAATAATATAAAATAGTAATAATAATTACATCTCAGGGTTTCAGGGTTTATTATTTAATTACTCTATTTAAAACGACATGTTACACACACTGCTTGATTATGGCTAATGATTGTCAAATTTATTATATTTAAGCGTGACTAGTGGTTTCAATTATCATTCAAATGGTCACAAAATTTAACTTAAAATGTGGCTAAACAATGATAGGATTTTATCAATAACCTTTAGCCACATTTATTGGACTGGGTGATTATAGATCATTTTTATATTAGTGTACAAAACCCAAACACATGTAATTTCAATCAGAGACAACATAATGTTTATATAGAGTTTTTGATATTCAAGATGTACGAAAACACTTGTAACTTCAAAAAGACTTTGCAGATTATATGTACGATGATAACCGAGATGATAAATTAATTAGGAAAAAATATATAAATTTTCTTGTTTTTAAATGTTTTTGTTGTAATGTATTTTTTTTAGAAATTAAATTGTTATGTTGAATTAAAAAATTAGGTTTTATTTAAAGAATATGTTTCATTAAAAAATATGGTCCGTCCACCAATATTTTAATTGTATATATATGTTAAGAAATGGTATGAGACAAGCTCGCTTATCGAAGCTCCTTATCGCAAAACACCATGCTGAAAGCTCCACTTAACACAAAGAGAGCCTCACCCACAAGATGGTTCAATCGACTTTACACAGTGGTTTACGCAGTGGCCATTTTCGCACTCGTTTATCGCCATTGTTGTAACCTTATCAACTCTCCTTCTTTCACCACCATTTTCCTGCTCGTAGCTGATCTTGTGCTTGCTTTCCTGTGGGTGGCATGGCAACCTTTCTTCCTGAATCCGGTGCACCGCGAGGTTTTTCCAGAGAACCTGCCACAAGTGGCGAAGGAGAGCGATTACCCACGGCTGGATGTGTTTGTTTGCACGGCTGATCCGTTCAAGGAACCACCAGTCGGGGTTCTTAACACCGTCTTGTCTCTTTTGGCGTATGATTACCCGACGGAGAAGCTGTCTGTATATTTGTCGGACGACGGAGGATCGCAGCTGACGTTGTTTGCGTTCATGGAGACTGCTAAGTTCGCGAAACATTGGTTACCATATTGCAAAAAATATAATATAATGGATAGATCTCCTGAAGTTTACTTTGAAAACGATCTATCTCTGTTCCCGGAGACAAATGAAATCCAGGTAAAGGTTGCTTCTTCTGCATATCAAAAGTTTTTTCTTCTATAATCATTATATTCGTTGTCGATTTTATATATATAGTCGATTTTTATAGATCCGTTCATTGCATATCGAAGACTGTTTGACTATTACAGATCTTTTCTTCCTCCCTCGTTAAGTTTATACAGATTTGTGAAATATGGATTGACCATTGTGAATCCAACAGTTTTGTTATGAAAATCTGTAAGGAGTTTAACCAAAATATAATGACTACAAAATTTATTTTCTCTAGAAATCGCTTTTAATAGATATACAATATGTATAGCAGGAAAAAGAAAAGATGGAAAGAAGTGGAGATGGTTAGTTTATTATTTAATTATATTTTTACTTAGAACATTGCCACATTGTTTTTACTCCTTTCGGTAAAAACGTTATTTATTAAATAGATTTCGTAAGATTATGCATGTTTGGGTAAAAAAGTAACATATGTTAACTCAAATATATACGGGCTGTCTTTTTCGAAGATTGGAAATTCATTACCAGGGAATCTTCAAAAACATTGTAATTTAACCCATATTAATTAATCCAACATGTCAAATCACAAATCAGAAAACAAAATTATTATTATTATTTTAACACTGATGATCGTTATCAATTTTGCAACATAGCAATGATTAACTTTGAAGATTATATTTTTGTTAAATCAAGTTACATTTGAGTTTGGACACGTATATTAATTTAACAGAAATATTTTATTACGTACTCTTCGTAATAGGTTGCATTATTTTCAAAAGCATTTTTAAATACTTCATATTATATATATATATATATATATATATATATATATATATATATATATATATATATATATATATATATATATATATATATATATATATATATATATATCTTAAAGTCCCATCATCTGATCATAAGTTGTTTTAAAGAGTATTTTGTATTTAGCTAATTTATCATCATTCATGATCATATATTTTCTCTACAATATTTATCTTTTTAATAAGATAGAATTTGTACAACTATTAAGTAAATATATGATTTGAAATGTTATATATTAAATGTAAGCGATAACTATATAAAGGATAAAAAAAAAACTTTGTAATGAGTTGTACAAATATTAATTTCTTTTTGCTGGAACAATAATTTTGCAAAACCTGTTATTTTATTCTAATTTATTATACGTCTGCGGCCTCCTTTTTTGACAACAAATAAATCACACTCGCTAATCAAAATTTATTCAAAACAACCAACTATGTTGACCCTATAATGATTGAAGGTTTATTAATTATCTAAAGACGAAGGTGTACTAAATACTGTAAGCAGACAATGTATTAATTATCTAAAGACGAAGGTGTACTAAATACTGTAAGCAGACAATGTACGAGAACATGAAAGCCACTATTAAAGATGTGATGGACCGAGGAACCGTTGATATCGATCAAATAAACGACGAACGTGCCATCAAAGCTCTCCGCAAATGGACAAATGAATTTACACGTCACCAACATCCTACGGTGATTGAGGTTTACAATTCTTTCCCAAAACTAGTGACATATAATTAGTTCGAATTAACTTTTTATAACTTATTAAAAATAAACTACGATTTTATGATGATATTAATTACTTACAAATAGGTTTTACTGAAAAATGACGAAGATAAAGATGTAACGGGTCATTACATGCCCAATCTCTTCTATGTAGCACGAGAGAAGAATAAAGCCACCCCACATCATTTTAAGGCTGGTGCCATCAATGCTTTGGTACGCTTAGCCTTCTTGATCAATGATCATCACATCGATTCTTGTAGTTGTAACTGATCTTGATAGTATATATAATGTACTATTTTTCATCAACAGTGGTTAATTGATTATTGCAATCACCATATGCTTTTGTAGCTTCGAGTGTCAGCTAAATTGACAAATGCACCTATATTCCTCATCCTTGACTGTGACATGTACTCCAACGATCCTAAAACACCACTTCGCATGTTATGTCATTTCTTGGACCCTAACGTTGATCCAAAGCTTGCATTTGTTCAATTTCCTCAACGTTTCTACAACATCAACAACAACGATACTTATTGCACCGAACATGTGCTTGAGAACCAAATATGTAGTGTAGGAATGGATGGTTTAGATGGCATGTCATTCATGGGCACTAACGCCTTCTTCAAAAGAGATGCTCTACTTGGAAAACCTAATGAGCCACAAGGGATATGGAATGAACCGAATGATTCAGAAGATGGTTTAGCATTAGCACACCATGTTGCGGATTGTAGTTATGAGGACAACACTAAATGGGGTTCAGAGGTACATTTTTTTCATTAAACAATTTTGTTAAACTATGCATACTCGATAATGTTACCGATTAATGTTCCATTATTGCTAATATGATATAAGTTAAATGCAGATTGGGTTTAGGTATGGTACGTTAGTTGAGGATGCCTACACGAGTTTCAGAATTCAATGCTTAGGATGGAAGTCTGTCGTATGTAAACCAACTAGGGCGGCATTTCTAGGAAATATGCCGGTAGCCCTCCATGACTTTCTAAGTCAAGCCAGAAGGTGGTACATGGGTTTGCTACAAATAGCTTTGTGCAAATTTAGTCCTCTCACTTTCGGAATGAAGTATATGAACCCTCTCCAAGCCATGTGTTGTGCATATATAGATTTTCGTGCGTTTTGGTCTATTCCCATTATTATCTATGCCTTTTTGCCTCAACTAGCGCTCTTAAACTCTTCCGTTATATTCCCAAAGGTGCGTAAACATAATGGTATCTTTGATAAACATATATACACAAACAATCTTGATTAACGGATGTAAAAAGAAAAAAATTGAACTTTGTCATGCATGCATGCAGGTTTCAGACCCTTGGTTTTCTTTGTATGCGTTTCTTTTCCTTGCAGCATATGGGAAAAGTCTTCTTGATTATGTGGTGGCAGGATCAACATTCAGAAAGTGGTGGAGTTACCAAAGAATGTGGTTGATATTTGGATGCTCGACTTATCTTTTTTCATTTTTCGATTGGTTGGTTACAACTCTTGGCATGTCAACATTTGAATTCAATGTTACGAGCAAAGTGTTGGATACTGAGCTAAACAAACGTTACCAGCAAGGGGTTTTCACCTTCGGGGTGGATTCACCATTGTTTGTATCGATAAGCATTGTTGCCATTGTCAACTTATTTGCCTTTTTGGTTGGAATTAAGCAAATTTTGAGCAATGGGAGGTTTGAAGAACTGTTTGGACAATTATTTATATCAGGGTTTGGTGTGGTAAATGGGTGGCCGATATATGAAGGTATGGTGCTGAGGAGTGATAAAGGAAAGATGCCTGCAAAGACTACTTTGAAATCAGTATGTGGTGCTTTGATTATTTACTGGTTGTTTTCTTCGACATGTTAGTAAACAACTTCCAAGAATTTGTCATGTAACATATTGAGTAGTGAAAAGCCTCCTCCAACATTCTATTTTAGGCTAAAATCGTTCGCAAGTAACTACATTCACTACAAGTAATAAAGGGATTATTAGAAACATGTCTAACTTTTACCGGCAATTCCTTTTTTTTTCCCAGTGATTCTATTTTAGGTTTGCAAAATTAATTTACTTTTGTTAGTGCTTCTATATACGAGTAATTTCTAAGAAGTATTTAAAAAAATAAAAAAAAATTAAATATCCTTTTATTCCTGGTCATCATCCTATCATATTAAATGTTAACATGTATCATATATATATATATATATTGATATATGTCAATATGACACATTTAATGAAATTCATAATAATTTAATCTATTTATCATCATTTGATATCTAAGTAGTAGGATGAATATGAATAATATATATAAAAAAATATATATATTTAATATATATCCTAAAAAACAGAAGATTGAAATAAATGCGATAAATATCTGAAAGTTAAGACTTGATTAAAGAAAATATACTTCAAGGAATGTTTTTAATAAACTGTTATTTTGAATAAATAAGAAATTAAATAAATAAGGAAACATTCATATATAATCAACAAATTTAAATTTACACAAAATAATTGTATTTATGAGAAGTAGAAAGTAGTATCTAAGAATGGTTTTACTAAATAATTAATAGTTTCTAGAATCTTTTTACTATAAAGCTAACCATAAAAATATACAAAATAATCAACTTCACGGTCATGATGATGGTTTGGGGTCGAATGATTATGAGTGACAATTCTTAATACGATCTGCGATACAACACGAACCCAACATGAAAATAAACAGATTTGGTTTGAGAATTCTGACTCGCCGTGTAATTTTCTAAAATTTTAAAACCAAAAATTTCTTTTTTATAATAATAAAACCATCAATCCAACATGTTCATAAAATCATAAAGGAAAATCAGAGTATGTCAATCAATCATCCCAATACATCCAAAATCAAATAAGACAGAAATCATGGTGTGTGTGATGCAATCACCTCAAGCTCTTCCCTTTTGAACCGTAAGTATCTAAAATACAAAATGAAAACTATAAGCACAAAGTTTAGTAGTATGGGCCATGCCCCACAACCATCAAGCTACGCCCAGCTTCGAGTCCCGCTTGGAACACATCTATCTATGCTATGTGATGGGCCCCGCCCAACACACCTACCAGGCCTCGCCCGACATACATAAATTACATACAAACATGCAAAGTCATACATTCAACTAGCATATAGATAACCATAATCCATGGTTCAACATTGGTGCCTTCGATCTGCTAAACGCTAGGAGGAGACTCACCTCAAACTGCTAAAAAATTATATAAATGTTCGGACTGTTGTTCTAGGAAATCTCCGCAATACAACTAAAGCATTGGCGAGCCCAAAGGGCATCACCACGAACTTGTAATGACTATAACGAGTCTAGAAGACCGTCTTCTACGTATCCTCCTCTCTTACCCTCATCTGATAATAACTCAAACGCATATCACTCTTGGAAAACCAATATGCACCTTGGAACTGGTCAAAAAAATCGTCGATTCTCGGGAGTTGATATGTGCATATTTAGTTTGTATTAAGTGTAGATTTTTATTCATTTATTAGCTAAATTATTGCATTTCATGGACAAAAGGTACTTAAAAGTGTTTGAATTGTATTTTCAGTCCAAAAATGAAGCTCGGAAGCAAAAGGAAGCAGGCGAAGCGGTTAGGAGCTTGGGAATTGGATAAAGAAGAAAAACACCAAAAATAGCACCTACTCGGCGAGTAGGGTCGACTACTCGGCAAGTCCAAGTGAGGATAATGACTCGGGAACCCAGATGCTTATCACCTGACTCGACGAGTCGATACGCAAATATATAGATAACTTCCCAGATCGAGGAAAAAAAACTTCTGGGACAATTCTGGAGTAATTAGCTGCGATTCAGAGGCCAGAGAAACCCTAGAAGACGAAGATAGAAGCTACAATTCAATCCCGAAGGAGATTTGAGGCAAATTTCATCATTATACTTAATCTTTTGTTTTCCACTATGGTTAGACAATTTGAATTCGTTTTTATGCTGTTATTTACTTCAATCATCAGCTAAAACTCTTAAACTTGTGTTTGGGGATACAAAATTGAGACTATGGTTTGATTATTGGTAGGATTAATTCAATGTTGGTGATTTATTTGCTATTTTAGCTTGCTATTAGAACCTTGTGTGTGAATGATAATTAATTTTCTGTTAATAGGAAGGTAATTAAATAGCATGAACATCGTTTGATTATCAACCTCATATACCTTGTGACTACTTTGTTATATGTCTAGGACTAATGAACATGAAACTAGAATTAATAAGAAAATTAAGTAAATTTATGTGCAAGCTTGTGTGATGACCATCAACAAGAAGTTAATTAAAACCAAATTGATTAACTATTGTGAGTCTAAAATAATCCGAATAATTAATCTAGTGAACTAAATTGAATTAGACAACTGATCACTGTTTAAGTTAGTTTATTTACTAAGGATTAGTGTAGTGAACGCGAACCTAATCACTTGAATCGGTAACCAACAAAAGAATTTATCCATTGCACTATTACCTTGAAATCAACCATAGGATCAATTGAGTTGAACTAAACAGAAGTTCCTTCGTATTATTGAATCTAGTTAATTCTTTTTTTTTTTCTAGTTTTTAGATTAAGTAATAGTTAGTAAGTTTCTAGTCTTGTAAAACTAGAGAAAACCCTCTACTTATTAATTAATTTAGATAGAATTAGTTTTTATTTTTAATTTGCCGTTCCCTGTGTTCGATACCCTACTTGC